CGTTGTCACAATCTTTTAAGATTGTTCGTCGTTATATACCTATTCAAGTTGAAAATCTCACCACTACTAATGACACTATAATGGACTCAATTTTCCGGTTACAGTTATACTTAAAAAAGAACCGCGTGGTTCGGGCTATCATACTTTACACACAAATAAAATACATGAATTTGGATTTTTGCGCGATCATAATTTGACTCGACTTTGGCATTTTTATAATCTCGTCAACCCATTAACCTTGGGCAGTGACATCTTTTGTCCTTGCAAGCCTCGGAGGCTGATTTCCTGGCAAACACAATTACTCGGACTAATCAAATAAATATCGAGTGCATATGAAATGATTTCGCATATACTGCACTGATTGATTTGCCTATGCACTTACAACACTGTAATTTAATACACGGCTATGTTTAATCTTTCGTTTTGCATGCAAAGGGCAGCTTAATTGATGTAGCCCACTACATGTAATGCCACATCGGTTCATGGTCGTCGATAATGGGAGTGTACGGTATACAGTACAAACTGTCAAGCAGATGTGTGTTTTTTAACGACTCGTAGCAAAGTGCACAGCTATTCCCATCTAACTGTTAAGTAGCTGATAGGACAGATATATTTTGTATATAGTTAAATTATGAAATATTTGACAAGTGTGGTCTTCATTAATTATAGTATAATTATTCAAATCAAGCATACGTGCTCTTCAATGGTAGAGTCTGCACTTTAAAAGATTCAAAACGGGGCCTTGTAATAGTAAGTCCGTAATTATTATGCAAATTTATTTTTACAAGTGTCCTCCAAAAGAAATCAATTTAGCCAATCACAGTGCAGCAGTTCCTCCAGTTTCAAGAGTTTCCTCTTGGTTTGAATACTCAAACTTGAAGTGTGAACCCCATTGTACTGTCGGCAATGCGTTTCTGTTATAGGTAAAGTTTCGCTTCCTCTGAACTGCGTTTTGAGTTTTTCCTTGGGGGCCTCTTTTTTGTGATTGATCAATAATCAGGAGCCGGAGTTGACATGACCGCGTCGTCTTCAGTGTGCACTGTTTTCGTCGTGAAGGGATTATGCAAATTACGCAATAAGTCAATGTTATTGTTTGCGTCCAGACTTTTATCTCAAAAACAGAGTGTACAGTATCTCGTTATACAAGTAGTTTTTCTTATTTTTTTAAAAAAAAGGTATTCTAGATGTGTTTCAGTTTTAATTTTGATAACATTATAAGCCTAATAACTTGACAAAAGTAATAACAAAAAAAGCAAAATTCACTAAAATAACTCTGCCGCATCCTTAAGAGACATACTCGGTAATTAAACGTTGGTTAATTATTTTGCAAATTAGGTAACGAATACGAAACTCATCAGGGTTATGGATTACTTCATATAACAATTTAACAAACATTTAGCGGAATATAATAAGCAGTTTTGAGGTATCAGTTGAGTAATTATATACATACACGCATACAGGAATCGTGTAAACTCTCCACTTTATATACAGGAATCTTGGGAACTTCACACTTTACATACAGGAATCGTGTAACCCCCCCCCCCACACTTTATATACAGGAATCATGTAAACTCCACACTTTACATACAGGAATCTTGTAAACTCCACACTTTACATACAGGAATCTTGTAAACTCCACACTTTACACACAGGAATATTGTAAACTCCACACTTTATATACAGGAATCTTGTAAACTCCACACTTTACATACAGGAATCTTGTGAACTCCACACTTTATATACAGGAATCTTGTAAACTCCACACTTTACATACAGGAATCTTGTAAATTCCACACTTTATATACAGGAATCTTGTAAACTCCACACTTTACATACAAGAATCTTGTAAACTCCACACTTTACATACAGGAGTCTTGTAAACTACACAATTTACACACGGGTATCTTGTAAACTCCACACTTTATATACAGGAATCTTGTAAACTCCACATTTTATATACAGGAATCATGTAAACTCCACACGTTATATACAGGAATCTTGTAAACTCCACAATTTACATACAGTAGTCTTGTAAACTTCACACTTTATATACAGGAATCTTGTAAACTCCACACTTTACATACAGGAATCTTGTAAACTCCACACTTTATATACAGGAATCT